TTTAGCTTCAGCTAGTGTTGTCGGTTGGTGGGCCTGCCGCTTGCCTTTGGTACAAAAGTCGCGTGAATGCACGCCGGGTTCTATTAATCAAAGCTACGCGAAACCTGTTCGGCGTATTTTAGCAAACATTTGCCTTTTTCTTCTGCTGCCATGTTGTTCAGCGTTTTTGTATGTGTGTGCGTTGCATGCGGTGCGTACTGTGTGTGCGTGTGCATTTGTCCGGCCGCAGGTATGTATTACGTGTGCGGCGGTGTATGTGATGCGTTCGTGTGTGGAGGGGAGGGAGCGCATGTGTGCTGTGTGATGGCTGATGTGCATGCGTACGTGTGTGTGTGTGTGTGTGTGTGTGTGTGTGTGTGTGTGTGTGCGTGTGTGGGCGCATGTGTGCGCGTGTGGCTGTATGTGTGAGTACGTGCATGTGTGCGCGCGCGTGGGTGTATGTACGCGTGCGTCGGTGTACGTGATCGAGCGCGCGTGTGTGCGTGTGTGGCTGTGCGTGTGTGTACGTGCGTGTGGGAAAGTTTCTGACTATAGCTTGAATAAGGGCCCGCTATTACAGCCGTCGATGTTTATCTTGTCCCATCTTATCTGCAGCAGACGATGGCTGTAGGAAGAGATTTCGGGTGGGGAACCGGTACTTTGACTGTCAGCACATCCGCACCACTGCCGACAGGTGCCACCTGCTTGAATGATGCTCAAACTGTCGTTACGACTGCAGATGTTGTTCTGACGTCATCTGATCATCGTCTGTGGCAGCCTTTGGAAAAGGGTCTTGAAATCGCAAATTATTTTGATCGCTTTTACTCTCTCTCTCTCTCTCTCTCTCTCTCTCTCTCTCTCTCTCTCTCTCTCTCTCTCGCTCTCCCTCCTCTCTCCGCCCTCTCCCCCTGTCTTCCTCTCCCTGCCCTCGCCCCCGCCCTCCTCTGTCAATCTGCACGATGTCTTACGGGTGTCGTCCCCCCCGCTATTCGATTGTGTGCGCAGGACTACAACGACATCGTCAAGAATCCGATGGACCTGCAGACGATCAAGACGAAGCTGGATACGGGTCAGTACCAGGACCCGTGGCAGTACGTCGACGACGTGCTGCTCATGTTCGACAACGCGTGGCTCTACAACCGCAAGACGTCGCGCGTCTACAGATACTGCTCCAAGGTACGCGACGCTCGTATTGATTGAATGCCGGATTATTCTTTAATCATCTAAAGGCCCCCGCACACGGTGCGCATTCGGCGCGCGCCAACGGCGCTGAGCCAGAAAAATCGAACGTGATAGATATTTTGTTCACGCATGCAAACCAGCCCGCACACGGTGCGCATGCGCACTGTGTGCGGGGGGGGGGGGCCTTAATCCTAGATACTAGAAATAATTTCCAGCCGCTAACCTGTCACACGGTGTTACGCTACAGCGATATAATATCTTGTTGCAATCCCACGATGTTTGCGGCTGGTTGCGTTGCCGAGGGTGCGAGGCAGTGACACCGTAAGTCGCCGCAGTTGCTCCGTCAACGTTCCCGGAAGGCAGTCCGCCCGTGGACGAAAGCGAGTTAGTATCCCTGTGGCTCCAGCTTGCCCCTTGGCAAGGAGCCGAACGCAGGCAGTTTCCCACTGCAAAGTTCGGCTGTTCGGTTCCCGACTGCAAAGCAAGGCGACCGCTGCTGACTCGTATGGTTTTTCCCCCCGCGGTTTTTCAGCTCGCGGAGGTGTTCGAGCAGGAGATCGACCCGGTCATGCAGAGCCTCGGCTACTGCTGCGGTAGGAAGTGGGTCTTCCAGCCGCAGCCGCTCTTCTGTTACGGCAAGAACCTGTGTGCGATCCCGCGCTGACAAAGCAAGACGCGCCAACACTGGCAGACTAACACCATTCTCTCTCACGCTGATAAGAAACATCGTGACAAGCAGAAGCAAACACTGGCAGCAACACTCATTCTCTCTATCGACGTCACTAGCTCGCTGACAAAGAAGAGCAACACTGGCAGCGTAGATACCCACCATTTCTCTCTCACCGCTCGTAGCTCTGACAAAGCAGAGTCAACACTAGGCAGACTAACGCTATTCTCTCTGCACGCTCATAGTTTCGGTGACAAAGCAGTACGGCACAACTGCAGCCTAATACCACCATTCTCTCTCACGGCTCATAGCTCGTGACAAGCAGAGGCCAACACTGGCAAGCTAACCCACCATTCTCTTCTCACGTCATACGCTCGCTGACAAAAGCTAGTAGTCAACACTGGAGCTTAACCACCATTCTCTCTCACGGCTCATAGCTCGTGACAAAGCAGAGGCAACACTGGCAGCTAACCACCATTCTCTCTCACCTCATAGCTCCGTGACAAAGCAGACGTCAACACTGGAGGCTACCACCATTCTCCTCTCACGTCATAGCTCGTGACAAAGCAGAGAGGCCAACATGGCCAGTAACCACCATCCTCTCTCACGCTCATTAGCTCGTGACAAAGCAAGAGAGCTAGTTGTTGGCCAGCTAACCACCATCTCTCTCATCGTGATTAGTTTCGTGACAAAGAGCAGGCAACACTGGCAGCTAACCACCATTTCTCTCATCTACGTCTCTAATAGTTCGTTGACAACCAGCAGAGCAAACGTCACGCCCAATATTTCTCTCTCACTACATAGTATTGAGACAAAAAACCAGTTCATGTCTATTGCCCACTAGACAACTAATAACAGACCGTTCTCTCTCTTTTCATTGTACGTTTTATCAAGTGAGAAGCAGCAGTACAGCTGCAGCAGCAGTTGCAGCAGCAGCAGCAGTTACAGTGCAACGTGTCCGCTCCCACGTCACAGCCCCAAGGCGTGCATCCGGGCGACCGTGCGTTCCTGTCTCCCCACCAGCCACTCTCCCAGAAGGTGAGTCGTACTGCCGTAACACTACACTCCACACATAAACGCATTAGCGGTTGGCCGCGCGGCGCGTGTATGGCTATTGGGCGCTAACCCACTAGATTAGCAAGATACGACACAATCGGCGCTTCGCGCGAGTGTGCTTGCGAGGAGTTTCTAGTTCGATTCACTGGTGGATGTTGACGTTCTAAAACGAACGGCAGCGTCGTACGAGTCGCTATATGCTTTAACGATAGCTTGACAAGATAGCTTGACCCGATAGCTGAAGATAGCTTTGACGACAGCTTGACAGATAGCTGGGTACCGACTAGCTTGACAGATAGCTTGACCGATAGCTGACAGATAGCTTGACTAGATTAGCTTGACAGATAGTGTTGACGATAGCTTGACCGATAGCTTGACAATATAGACTTGACAAGATAGCTGACCGATAGCTTGAAGGATCGCTTGACAGGATTAGGTTGACCGATAAGCTTTGACAGATAGCTTTGACCACGTAGCTTGACAGATTAAGATTGACCGAATAGCTTGACAGATAGTCTTGACAGATAGGTTGACGATAGCGATCGAACCGATAGTTGACAATGAATAGCTTGCAGATAGCTTGGGACAGATAGCCTTGAACCGATCAGCCTTTGACAGCATAGCTTGGCAGTTAGCTTGACAGATAGCTTGACAGATAGCTTGAAGATTAGACCTGACCGATAGTTTGACAGATAGCTTGACCGGACAGCTTGACCGACAGTCTGACCGACGCTTGACTGATAGCTTGAACCGAATAGCTTGATCAGATAAGCTTGACGATTAGCTTGACAGATAGCTTGACGATAGTTTGACAGATAGCTTGACCGACAGCTTGACGACGTATGACAGACAGCTTGACCGATTAGCTGACAGATAAGCTTGGACGATAGCCTTGACAGATAGCTTGACCGATAGTTTGACACGATAGCTTGACCGACAGGCAGTGACCGACAGCTCTGAGACATGACATGCTTGACCGACGCAGCTTGACCGACAGCTTTGACCGCATAGTTGACAGATAGCTTGACAGATAGCTTGACAGATAGCTTGACCGACTAGCTGACGACAGCTTGACAGGACAGCTTTGACTGATTAGCTTTCTGACCGCATTAGCTTTGACAGACCTAGCATCAGTGAGCGACGGCATGCATAGTCACCGTGGTCGAGGGGACAGAGTGGCGAGACGGATGTCGAGCTTCTAAGTGGGGATATGATCTAGGCGGGGTTCTTAACCTGTGAGTCCAAAGTAGGTCTGTGTGGATTTGGGCTTCAGGGTCGGGTCCGTGAACCAGGCGCATGCAAAATTGTATGTTCCCTGCTTATGTGCATTTTTCTGGGTGAGGGAGTCTGTAGCTTCCACCAGATTCTCAAAGGGGTCCATGACTCAAAAAAGGTCTTAGAACACTGATCTAGTGCGAGAAGCGGGCACGCGTACGCGTA